GGTTGGGAGTCATTTTCCGGGGGCAACCTGGGGGTGGGGGGTGGGGGCAATTTCCCAAAGGGGGGCCCCGGGGGCCCCCAAATTTTTAGGGGTGTTCCCGGGAGGGGGGGGAATTCCATTGGTTTTTTCCCAATTTCAAAAAGTGGGGCGGTAAGGGGGAAAAAAAAAATCCTTTTTGCATACATGTGGGGACGGGGGTCCCCCCCCCCCGGCTGCCTGGGTGTTGACCCCCCCCCCCCCCCCCGGCGGCGGCGGCAGATCTACAACGGTTTTGCGGGGTTCTTCGACTACGGCCCGCTAGGGGTAGAACTGAAGAAGAACATCAAGGACGCGTGGTGGAGGGATGTAGTCCAGGCACGCGATGACATCGTCGGCGTCGACTCTTCCATCATCAGCAACCCTAAGGTAGGGTAGCAGTTTTTTGGGAATTGTGTATATCCCAGCACGTAGCAGCAGAAGCTGATGCCCACCGACGCTAGTCGATGTGATAGCTCGCAGAGCTCGTAGCAGCACAAGCACAGCAGTACTCCGTGCCGAAGAAGATGATGGAATGTTGTAAACACGGCTCGTAGGTAGCCGACACAGATTCACACAGATACGCAGATGATACGCAGGACAGTAGTATCCAAGGGATGGCAAGGATAGAAGAGGTACCCAGACCGAACTTCGTATCACAGAGAGATCTCCAAAAGTGAGGTCGATCACAGAACGACGAGACGAACTACGCATATGCATACGTTACATTCCAACCGACATAAATTACGCCGACTACGTTTCATACGCAGCGTCTGAACATTGACTATGAAGAGGAGGACGACTGAACATTTCCACAAGCAACAACCCTAAGGTCGGGGGATAATGCTACTGCCACGGACGACGCGACCAGGAACGAGAGAAAGAGAAAAGATACAGAAAATATACAGAGGACACACACAGAGGGAGACAAAGACACCGACACAGGGAGAGGGAGACAAAGACGAACAGAGACAGAGGGAGACAGAGAGACAGGGCAGAGAGAGAGGAAGAGTGAGAGACAAACAGACAGGCAGACTTACAGAGGGAGGGCAGAGAGAGAGGGAGAGATATATTTCGGTGCACACACTTCTCTTGCGATATTCGTGTTGCTTGACGTACGTGTTCTTCCCGAACGTCGGCGGGTTTCCACAGGTGTGGGAGGCGTCTGGCCACGTCGCCGGGTTCTCGGACCCCATGGTCGACTGCAAGGAATCCAAGCTGCGGTACCGGGCCGACCAGCTCTTCTACGGGAAGGTAAATCGACGCTTGAGTGACACTGTTGTTGTTGTGCATCACACGTTTTTGTTCTGGAAATAGACCATCACAGAAAGACTACCTGTTCGAGGTATAACCATATTCGGACGGCTGAACTTCACCGCGCAATTCTTGTTGTTAAGATTGTCTCGCACAACAAAACGTAGGTTGTGCGGTGTATCTCTTGTATCTGTTTTCGGCAGTAATGTCCCGTGCAGAGGTGTCGCTGTTGGTACTAAATATCTCGCACAGGGGAAAACGTAGGTTTTGGAGTGTGTATTTTGTTTTCATCTATCTCGGCAGGTATGTGGCGTGCAATGCGTTGTTGGACCTACATATCTTGCTCAAGAGAAAACGTGGAATTTGCGGTTTGCGTGTTTTTTAAGTCCATTTTCGGCAGTGATATCCCGTGCAATGGTGTTATTGTTGTTTGCGGCATCTTGCGGTGTACGATGTTTTTTTTTTTTCTACTTTCGGCAGTGATGTCCCGTGCAATTATTCTCCTTCGTTTTCTTCTCGCAGGTGGAGTTGGAGGATGGGGAAGTGATCGGGTACGTATCGGTGCTGGAATCGGGCACCATGCAGGAGGAGGCAGACACGGCCGCTAACAAGATCAAGCGCAAGGCCGCTAAGCAGGTGCTTTTTGTCATCCTGGGCTTGTTCGTGATCTGAGGTTTGGGGTCATCACGGGATAAATAATATACTAAATAACAACGTGTAACATCAATTGAGAGACATTATGGACGGAAAGACATGGGCCCATAAAAGCAAAACAACCTTGCCGGAAGCACCAACAACCAACGACGACTGCTACTATCAAAATACAATTTTACGAGACACAAAATGCTGTGGGGTTCAATAACGGCAACGAACTTAAAGCTGAAGAGCCTAACGTTGGGAGGCCTAGCTTATCCCCGTCATAATCACAGGCGAAACGGTAGTTAGCTACTCAAATATTCTTAACGCGAAGACACAGCGGAGAACGTTCTCATTGGAATACCGAGGAGTTTCAGTTGGTCGATTCACTGTCCAAAAGGTTGCCGTTGACTGTGTCCGAGTGGGAGTCTCGGCTACCTAGGCATCTACTGGGTGCAGCTTGTGTCTCGTCAATGCATGCATGCCGTTGATCGGTTGGTTGCTTTGGTAGGATTTGCAAGCAGGAGGCCGACCATTTGCGTCTCCGGCCGACGGGATGGAGTTGATGGAAGGGCTAAACCAGTCCTTTACCTCGTTCTGCGCATTGCCGTTATCCAGCCGGGAGACAACCGAAGTGCTGTCGTCGTCACATGCTGACATAATGGCCCAAAAGACAGTACACAAAAAAATAAGCTGGACGCGTATTAACTTTTTCGTCGCTGATTCTCTTTGGTGTTGGGAAGGACGCATGGACGGAAAGAGGAACAGACAAGATTTGTGGGGTGACGATTCACTTTGCTGCATTTTCTCTCGTCAGGGAACGCTCAAGGCGGTGTCTCTTCAGGACTTGTCGAGAATAAGCGCGGAGGAGTTGGAGCTGGTCCCCTCCCCGGCGACAGGGACCCCGGGGGCGTTAACGCCTCCTCGGGAGTTCAACCTCATGTTCCAGACAAACGTCGGGGCCATGGCGGTGAGCAACAGTCTTTTTTTTTCTCATCATTTTTGAGTCAGTCAGAGTTCACAGCTTTTGTGCCGGATAGCACATCCAATGATACATACGTGGTCACAGAGAAGAGTTGCCCCCTCTACCTTCAATTTTTTTACGCGAGAAGATCAATGCGCGACAATTTTCTTGTGGCAAGATGAACCTGTTGTTTTGCGTGATGTGGGCTTTGACTTTGTTCTGGGTGCGTTGGGTGTCGACGTGTTGCTGTTGCTTTTGTGTGTGTGTGTGGGGGGGGGGGCAAACAGGAGCCGGAAAATGAAAAATAATACACTGGATGTATCTAACATAGCACCTTTATTTTTACTCTGTTGTTGCTGTGGTGACATTTTTGGCTGGTGGATTCTTCCATTTTTTGTTTTCTGTCGCAGTGTGGGTCTGCACAATTAAGGGACGGTTCCGCGCTTTAAACATAGCGTCCCCAAATATACAATTAAAAAGATCACCCGAATAAAAACGACACACACACAAATATTGTGATTGCAGGTGTATCCCCCCCTGGACCGTCGACCTCGTGCTTCAGGCGACTGTCGGATGGAGTTGTGGTACCACTGCTGTAGCGTTGGCTGAGCCAATGAAAACGTCCCAAGAGTTCTCTGTGTATCGCATATCTCACCTACCCCGCTGCCGTGTCTCCCTATGTTCGGGACAGGACGCGAGCTCTGTGGCCTACATGAGGCCCGAGACGGCTCAGGGCATCTTCACCAACTTCAAGAACGTGCAGCAATCAGCGCGCGCCAAGGTTCGTCGTCAATTTTCTCGCGTTTTTTTGGTTCCTGGTGGGTGCCCTTTCTCGTTGTTTTTGTCGACAAAATGGATGGGTTTTCGTTGTTGTTCTTGCTGTTTTTCTTGTCGTTGTGGTTGCTGCTGCTGCTGCTGCTGCTGCTGCTCCTCCTGCTGTTGTTGTTTTCGTGTGAAAAACCGTGTCGATCTCTTCCCTGTACCTTCTGACATCCATGTCGGGCCAACTGACGGTAACGCCTTCGGTGATCCCAAGCCAACCACCCAAATAAGGGTACCAACATAATACTGCTTACTTATTCCTACATGCGCCAAGTCTGGCTGTCGCGGACACTTTCTCTCAGATTTTTTCTCTTCGCGAGGTCGGTGTTTTTTTTTTCTTTCTGTACGCATATTTCGACCAAACAACCAACTACATGTACATACACCATATATCTTGCGGTGTGCAACCCTTTTTT